AATGCATACAGCTTTATAAACTCAGACAAAAAATACCAAAATGTATTTAATACTAATCAAAATCATTTTCTTTATTTCAATAGAACTATATACTCAATTTATGGTTTCATATTGGATTTCTCTACTGTACATATAAAGAGACAATATTTTAAATATATGAAGCCTGTTAGCTTGTAATATCCCGTTATTTAAAGGAGCATAAGTTCATAATTTAAAGGCTTACGCCTGACAGCCGGGCGCCGGCGCACTTGGGAAAGAGATCAAGCCCTGCACTCTTCCATGGAGAAGACGGGGGCCGGGGTTTGGGGCACCCCGGCAGCACCCGTTCGAGGGACGGGGGCTGACTGCCCTGGCTGCATGGAGCAGCCAAAAGTCGGGAGAGCCGTCAGAAGGAGAGGAGGCCAGGGGGGGTTGAGAGGTCGGGGGTCGAGGCGTCGACGCCGTAGGTTGTAGACGCATGGTAGGAGAAAGACTTTGAAAGCATGCAACAGAGAGTTGTTTGTCCCGGTTTCGAGCAAGAAACAGTCGAAGCCGGAAAGGGGACAGATAGAGCGACCGGAGAGACGTGGGCTCAACAACAGGTGGGCCTGTGAACAGGGCACGACCACGTGCAAGCCAGAGGGAAAAATCCTCCAACGCAAAGACACCAGAGGCAACCAGTGCCGGACTTTTAGAGTGATAGGACGGCAAAGGGTAGTGCGTAAGAGGAGCCAGGAGACCGCTAGCGCTAGAGAGCAACAGCAACCAAGCACACTCGACTTTGCTTTTTTGGCGTGTGAAAATTACCCCCATGTTGAGTCGCCTGTCTCTGTTGTCTCTTCCTCTGTCTCGGTCTCTCTCTGTCTCTGTCTTCTCTGTCTCTGTCTCTGTCAGTTGGCCTTGGTGGGGCCTGTATTCAGCAAAGTGAAGCTATCTGGTGCGCATCTTCGCCCTAGATTGGGCCAAGTTGGGCCCATGTGGTCAATGTTGGGCACATCTTGGGCCCATGTTGAGCCTATGTTGGGCCTATGTTGGTCTAGGTTACGCCTATGTTGGCCTAGGTTGGGCCTATGTTGGGCCTAAGTTGGCGTATGTGGGCCCCATGTTGGCCTATGCTGGCCCTAAGTTGAGCCATCTTGGAGGCTATGTTGGGCATAGGTTGGGGATATGTTGGCTATCTTAGGTCCATGTTGGGGATATGTTCGACGATTTCTGTTCAAAACATGATCCGAGACATTTTTTTGCCGATTTTTCCTTCCCGCAAAGCAAAAACCCTGGAAAAACCGACGTTTTTTGACATCGCCAAGATGAAACGCTCGGCCAGGGGCCCAAAACCCTGTAAAACACAGTGTTTTTCAAACTTCACACACGCACGAAACCCTGTAAATTACGTTGATATCAGTGACCCGGTGGTCCCCCCGTTTTTCGTGACGAGGGTCGGCGGTTGGGGGGGCGAGCGTCTATAACCTTCGGTTACCGCCGACGGCCTCCGGCGAGGACACGGGCGCGTGGCCGGCGCCCGGATTTAAAGGCTTACGCCTAACAGCCGGGCGCCGGCCCACTTGGGTCTGTGTAGGGCTGGGTCGGGTGCACGTTAAGCTATCGGGGGCGTACTGGGCCCTGGGTGGTGGCAAGAGCAAAGTTAAGCTATCTGGTGCGCATCTTGGCCCTAGGTTGGGCCAAGTTGGGCCCATGTGATCTATGTTGGGCACATCTTGGGCCCATGTTGAGCCTATGTTGAGCCTATGTTGGCCTATGTTAGGCCTATGTTGGCCTATGTTTGCCCAGGTTGGGCCTATGTTGGGCCATCTTCAAGGCTATGTTGGGCATATGTTGGGGATATGTTGGCTATCTTGGGCCTATGTTGAGGATATGTTAGGCAATTGAAATCGTCTGGAAGGCCTCTACCCACAAAATGTCGATTATGCCTGTCCGCCTTACCGGCACCACCCTTGAAAAACACAGCATTTTTGCATTTTTTCCATCTTCGCCGCGTCGTACTTCGATATGCGCAATAAACCCTGTAAAACACGGTGTTTTTTTATACCTCGCACACACGAAACACTGTAAATTACGTTGATATCAGTGACCCGGAAGTGACGAGGGGGTCCCCCCGTTTTTCGTGGCGAGGGTCGGCGGCAGGGGGCGCCCGTCTATAACCTTCGGTTACCACCGAAGGCCTCCGGCGAGGACACGGGCGCGTGGCCGGCGCCCGGATTTATGAGACTCACGCCTGACAGCCGGGCGCCGGCCAAGTAGGGAGCAGGGAGAGGGTATAGGCACAAGATAGCCTCCCCAACATATGCCCAACATAGCCTCCAAGATGGATCAAGATAGGGCCAACATAGGACAACATGGGGCCAACATACGCCAACATATGCCCAACATAGTCTCGACCGAGGCCAACATAGGCCAACATATGCCCAACATAGGTTCAACATGGGCACAAGATGTGCCCAACATAGACCACATGTGCCCAACTTGGCCTGACCTAGCGGTAAGATGCGCACCAGATGGCTTAACTTTACTCAATATAGGCCCCACCAAGTCTTAAAAAGAGAGAGAGAGAGAGAGAGACCCAACCCTAAGATCCAAGTGAGCCGCATAAGGTGGGTGTGTGTAGGGATGGGTACTCTCTCTTTCTCTGTCTCTTTCTCTTTCTCTTTCTCACGCTCTTTCTCCCTCTCCTCTCTCTGTCTGTATCTGTCTCTGTCTTCGTCTAGGTATCTTTCTCTCTCTCTCTCTCTCTCTCTCTTTCTCTCCCTCTCCCCTTAACCAGAACAGTTTCGGAATGTAAGTAACGAGTAGTAGAATAGCGTGCGTGGATAAAAAAGAAAGAGGCGCGAAACTGCTTGAAAATGTAGCCAATGGACGATAAAGTCGCATTTTTTCAGAAGTTGCAACCGAGCGCTAAGTTTGCCTCTTTTGCTGTCACCACCCATAGCCGTAGACAGGAGCCATGGCGAGCGCACCTGTGTTCACGCTGGTGTTGTCGGACTCGACGGGATATGGCTGGCTTCGGAGGGACAGGTAGTCCGAGCGCTAAGTTTGCCTATGTTGGGCCTATGTTGGCGTATGTTAGCCCCATGTTGGCCTATGTTGGCCCTATGTTAACCCATCTGGCAGGCTATGTTGGCCTATGTTGGCGCATGTTGGCCCCACGTTGGCCTATGTTGAGCCATCTTGCAGGCTATGTTGGGCATATGTTGGGGATATGTTGGCTATCTTGGGCCTATGTTGGGGATATGCTAGGCAATTTATGTTGAAAAAATCTGCCGATACAACTATTTACGATTTTTCCTTCCCACAAAGCAAAAACCAAGAAAAACCGACGTTTTTTTAACATCGCCACGATGAAATTCTCGGCTGCTGAGGGGCCCAAAACCCTGTAAAACACAGTGTTTTTTATACCTCACACACACACACGAAACACTGTAAATTACATAGAAATCTGTCGACCGGATTCGACCGGGGGTCGGGCGGGGGTCGACTGGGAGTCGGGCGGATTCTCCCCGCGGTCCAACAAAAAGGGTCGGCGGCAGGGGCGGCGAGCGTATATAACCTTCGGTTACCAACCGAAGGCCTCCTTTCACTGTTTGTTATACGTTGTTCTTGTTCTACTAGGAACCAGGACGCTACTAGGGGCTCCTGGCCATACTACTAGGAGCAAGGACGCTACTAGGGGCTCCTGGCCATACTACTAGGAGCAAAAGGACGCTACTAGGAACAAAGGGCATCGCCTACTAGTAGTGATGGGTGAGGGACGCAGTCGAGTTTTGCAGGATGTTGTTGCGGGGCACGATTGCGGAACGTGACTGTGCTGAGGCTGATACGCAGTGTGGTCAATCATCCGGCAACGGCGCAGGAGTTTTTTACAAGGCAAGGCAGCGGGGGGCCTGCGTGGGAGGTGGGTTTTGTGGATATGAGAGATGGTTACGGCCAAGTTGGAGATCGGGGAAAGGGAATTTGAACGTAGAAAAGTGAAAAGTTGTGGACATGGTGGGGTGTGGTAATGGCAAGGTTGAGCAGCGGTGTAGACGGAAAATGAACGAAGAGACAGTCGGAGTGGCTATGAGCATGTGGCGCAATGTGGAGCAAAGAGTATTCATGATTATTGAAGCATGTGGGAGAGGCATGTGGTAACTGGAGTGACATGTGTATCTTGAGGGGGAGTTTCTTCAGGCTAGTGAATTTGGAACAGCTTGAAGTAGTTTGCGCGACACAGCCAGGGTCAGGGCTGCTTACGGCAGGATCGGCGCGGGCGCTTTTCCATCGACAACTTTGAAGCAGATGTGTGCTTGGAGTTGCTAGCATCGATTTGGACACCCGGCGCCATTGGTCGGGCTACGGGGCGCGCGTTTTGCCTTTCATTAAAGGCGACTGGAGCTTGGTGGGCAGGGTGCAGTGGCGGAAGAGGTCCCTGTTGCCGAGTTCAAGGGTATAGGAGGTCTAGAAGCGGTCCCCGACCAGGTGTGCAAGATCGACGCTTTTGCGAAAAGGAATTTAGATGGCAGGCCACAAAATGACCCATTCCCCACACCTCCAAGTACCTCATCACAACGTATTTGGGGTCGCCAAACCCACCGGAAAGACTTTCTCAGAATCTCAGCAACGACTGGAGGCCTAGCGGGATTGTCGCGCGGGTCATCCGGGTCACATCAGAGCCCAGACATGTCCAGCCCCAGGGATTCTGTTGTTTTTTCTCATGTTCGGTACGACAAAAGAATGTGCTGGCGCGTACATAACAGTGTGGAACACATGACCTTCTGAGAAGGTACGACTGGCTCCCTAAGGGCATGTATCAAGCATAGCCTACATGGACGCCAATTAATCACACGAAGTGATCGGCAAAGAGGCCAATACCAGACGAGATGTGTTTGGGTACGGTACTTCCACCGTCAACCCAATCACGAACTCAGTCTGGAAACCAGTGGGTTGTGGAGCAATATTGTCTGCCAGTGGGGTAGACGAGACAGTCCGCTTTGCGGACTGTCTAGGAAAGGGCGTGCAGTGCGGTTGCGATGGCGGGAATGGGATGGGCCGCTGATGTTGGAACTGTGCAGCGGGAAGGTGTGCGATGGCTGACGAAAGTACGACGCATTTTGCTGTCGCCGCGGCAAGCTGCAGAAGGGTTTCCCGGATTGCGCAAGTGGCTGGGCGGTAGCTTGTTGCTCGGCAAAAAAAGCGGGGACGATGGGATCTAGAGGCGGGTAGGAAACATCGTTGGTTAGAGACTGTCCGGAGCATCGAAACGGAAGCAAGTGTTTACATTGCATGAGATGGTTGAAAACACGCAGAAGGATGTGAAAATGTGAAAGACGCTGTGTGTCTGAGAAGGAACCAGCGACAGGCTGAAAGCAGACGTTGCTTTTTTTCTGTGTAAGGTTCCGCCTCATCGTCCTGCGCGATGTGGGGCGGTTTGCGCCAGAAGTGCGACGTCCGTGCGACTTACCTTTGCTGAGTCGTTTTTTGGTTGCAGTTTTGGTTGTCACAGGTTGCATTTGGTTGTCATTGGTTGCATGTTGGTTGCCATTTGGTTGCATTGTGGTTGCCTTTCATTGCAGTTTGGTTGCCAGTGGTTGCCTTTTGGTTGTCACTAGGTTGCATTTTGGTAGCCACTGGTTGCAGTTTGGTTGCCACTGGTTGCATTTTGGTTGCATGGTGGTTTGGTTGCCTATTTGGTTGCATTTTGGTCGGCTTCGTTTCATTTAGGTTGCCTCTGGTTGCGTAGTTTCTTTGTTTTTGGTTACCATTTGGTTGCAATTAAATAGTAGCATGTGGTTGCCATTGGGTCGCCCTTTTGTTGCAAATTGGTTGCCGTCCTTTGATTAAATGACTTGCAGTTAGCCCAATATGAATTTCGGTTGCAACCACAAGGAAATCAAAAAAAAGAAAACTACGCAACCAAAGGCAACGAAAATGCGACCAAGCCAACCAAAATGCAACCAGATAGGCAACCAAAGGCAACCAAAATGCAAGCAGTGGCAACCAAAATGCAACCAGTGGCAACCGAAATGCAACCTATTGACAACCAAAACGCAACCAGCGACAACGAAAATGCAACCAGTGGCAACGAAGATGCAACCAATTGGCAACCAAAATGCAACCAGTGGCAACCAAAATGCAACTAGTGGCAACCAAAATGCAGCCAGCGACAACCAAAATGCAACCAGTGGCAATCAAAATGCAACCAATGGGCAACCAAAATGCAACCAGTGGCAACCAAAATGCAACCAATGGCAACCAAAATGCAACCAACTGACAACCAAAATGCAACCAGTGGCAACCAACATGCAACCAACATGCGAGCAAGGCGAAGCGACTTTGCAGACAATGGGAAGCAATGCGTGCGCGGGCTTCCGACGTCTGGCAAAGGGCATCTTGCGGAGGAACTTCCGGAACCGGATGCGGGGGGTGCCGTTTGGCACTTTGTGGCAGCGGCTGTATCCGATGATGGTGCGGGGCGGTGACGGGGAGAGCGGGCGAAAAGTGTGTGGCACCATCGGCTTTGCGAGCAGGGAGGTAAAGTCGAAGGGGGAGAGGTGGCGCACGAGGTGGAGAAGCTAAGAGAGAGTTCGGAAGAGGGTGGTTGGGGGAGAACGATGTTGGGACATGCTGATTGCTGGGTGTGGCGCAGGTTGCGGAGACGCAGAAGCTTTTGGGCCCAGCTGTGCATGCGGCGCCGGTGTTGGACTCTTTTGCGCTGAGCCATTCTTTGTGTGACTGGCAGCAACAGACGGATCGCAAGTTGCAGCGCCGGGCAAAGCCGCGTCGATCAGTGCAGGGCTTGCGGCAGTTGGCTGGAACAGCGTTGGCTGTGGGCGGAGGCGGGGCAGTAGCTTTAGGTGGGGCGGTGCTGCGTTTGTTGCAGGGGGATTGCAGAGGCGAGCAAGCTTGCGTTGTTTTTTTTTGGGGTGAGTGATGTGTTGTGCATGAGCTTGTTGTGTTTCGAGGACATGCAGTAGCATGCAGTAATAAAGTGCCGGGAAGCGTCGCTGTGCAGTGACTGGTGTTGGGGTATTGGTTGCGTATGTGCGGCCCCACGCGAAAGCCCTTGAACAGCTGTCGAAAGCCCTTGAACAGCTTCAGCTGCCCGATGCAGCCTTCGCAAGTCGTAGAAAAAAAACTCCCACACAAGCTCCTCCCCTCAACACCATGCTCGTACCTCCCTCCAAAGCTCCCGGCAATCTCCTTCGCCACCCTTTTCCACCATCTAATTTGATACCAAAAATCCTCCAAAAATTGTCCTCCCAGTGCGGCCCCAGAGTCTCTAACTCAACACCATGCTCGTACCCAACACCATGAGGACTCGCACCTCCTCTCACGCACTCCCCTTGCCGCAGCCGCAAGGGGTCGGCGGATTTAATGTATTCAAAATGTTATGATGATTTTGGAAATCAGAAAAGTGCGTTCATAATTGCATGAACTGTTGGGGATGTCAGAAAATGTTTTTTTTGCGTGGTTGCTTTTGGTGTTTTTTTAAATAGTTCCACACCAAACTATACAAGAAGAACACACAAAACATGATTTCACTTTAACAACTGAATCAACAATCGAGTTCAAACAACAAAACAGCCAACCATAACACTTTCAAAATCGAATATAAACATTACAAAAACTTAGCAAACGTTAGCAAACTTAGCAAAGCTTATCAAAATTTAGCTAACCTTAGCAAGTACACTGCAACGTTACCAAGTACCACCTATATAAGTATGGCGACCCGTAGCCGGACTTAGGCCGTTTAGACCATAGTTAGCCACATATGATACCAGGAGAGCAACTCCAAAAAAGAAACCAAAAAACACTAGCCCCCCCTCAAATACCAAAAATGCCAATCCTGTAGAGGAATAATTTGCACTCCCTCCATATACAAAAACATACCAAAAAAAGCAAACATACAAAAAATACCAATCCTGTAGAGGAATAGTTGGCCCTCCCTCCAAATACAAAAAATATCAAAAATACAAAAAATGCAAATCCTGTAGAGGAATAGTTGGCCCTCCCTCCAAATACTGGACCAAACATATCAAACATACCAAAGACTTAGAAACATACCAAAAATACAAAAACTATCAAACATACCAAAAATACCAAAAATACAAAAACATCCAAAAACATATTAAGCATACAAATCCTCTGGAGACATATAGGCCACCTGAGTAGTATTTCCTCTAGGTCTTTGGTATTTTTGGTATTTCTTTTTGTATTTTTGATATTTTTTTGTATTTTTGGTATTTTTGGTATTTGTGATATTTTTGGTACTTTTGGTATTTCTTTGGTATTTTTGGTATTGTTGATATTTTTGGTATTTCCTCTAGGTCTTTGGTATTTTGGGTATTTTTGATATGTTGGGTATTTCCTCTAGGTCTTTGGTATTCACATATTTTCACGTGCATAGGAAATACTTAAATTTTTTAGATTTTCCTGTGCATAAATAACACTGAAAAATACACACGCTCACAGCGCTGGTTTCTGATAGCAAACTCTATCTTGTTTGCTTTCTCAAGTCTCAAAGTACTCGAGCGCCAGACTTTGCGGTGCTGTGCAAAGAGGTCTACCTGCTAAAAGGCAAGCCGTTTGACTGGCTAGTCTATTCCCGAGACATGTCTCGTCAGGAATGGGGGACATTGATGTTCTTCTGCGACTACCAAAGCCCAGGACTAGGTGCTGTTGCGTTTATTGCAAGGAGGAAATTCTGTTGAAGCCTTTGCTTGAACCAGCACACCAGGCACATGCCGGAGTTTAAGCATATAAGAAATATAGGAGGTGGGACTAGGCAGGAGTGCTGTACAAGTACAAGGAACAATTCCATTCCCATTGAATGAGCATCACAACTTTGTAAGTGTACCTGCAAAGTAGTCTACTCGGCTACTCGCATGACCTTCCTTGCACAAGTTGTTGAGTTCTACTTGTATGCCAGTCACGATGCTGAGAATACTCCGTTCTTGCTCTCCGCTAGGTCCGGGAAGAGAGACGACGCTGGTGGAGCGCTAGAAGCTTGGGACTTTTGTAGGTTTAGAATCATCCTCTTCTGATCTCTTTTGTGGGTCGGCTAGCTCTTCTTTACTTTCCGTCTCAAAATATTACGCAAGCTACAGTCAAAGTAAGGGAAGACCAGTAGGTCCTGAGCAGAATTGCGTCCAAAGCCTGGCAAAGCGATAGGGCCCCCAACCCCCTGGCAAAAGTAATGATGTGGTGCATAAGCATAAGTGCATTACTATGCTTCGATTGAGCAACAGTGGGTCCGCCAGATATAGACGGGCCGCCTGGAAAAGATTCCTTGTGGTCCGGGCACTTCAAACATCTTCAAGCACTTTGTCCTGTCTTGTCATGTTGCCCCAGAAGCCGGTCGACCCTCTGTGATGATTTGACATTCCAGAATGCCAGATCTTCAAGCTGTCGGGTTTTGCTTGTGGCGGTCCAAATCATTAGTGCGAGCGTGAGCTATCCTGCGTCCCGTAGCTAGGAACGAGCTAGTCTCCCTTACTCAATGAAGTAGTAGACAGTCTCCTTTTAAGTAAGTAGGGGAGGCTGGGGGCATCTGGGGTACTAGGGCTAAAAGAAAATAACTCTTCCAAGGTTTGGCCATCTTTGGAGCTCCCTGGGGCCGTGCTGGTGCTGAACTCAAGATCATGGCCGCCATCGAAGCAAAGGTCCCAGGCCACACCGATGGACGACGCGGTTCGACGGTTGAACGGAGGCTGTGAGTGGACGTGCGTACTTGGCATCTTCCACTGCCATCAGACTTTCTTCAAGGTAATTTTAAATGGCTTTATTTACAGTTTTGGATATTTTTGGTACAGGTGGAACTGAGAAACTGCATTCGTCAAATTTCAATTCAGTAGAATTACTTTCTGTTCATCAGTCTTCCTCCTCTGCCCTCCGCTGTCAGGCCACTACACCTCCGGTGTTGGCGATGTCGCCTCCCCAGAGGACCGCTCCCTGGCAATGCTGTGGAGAGCTGCAAATGAAGCTGTCGATCGATGCTGAAAGTGCCTGCGCTGCCCATGTTCTTGATGCGATGTCGCATAGCGCTGACACAGATTTTAATGAAGCAAAGCAAACCCAGAAGCATTTGATCAAGAAGGCTCATCGCAAGTATTGTGCAATGAGCGCAACAATGAAGAACAATGGCTAGTGACTAGTCTCATTGACCCAGGCAGCAGTTCTTGACTCTGGCCTCCAGCAGCCGCCAAATCAATCAGAACCTTTCCTTTTGCAATTTTGTATCTCATGGGCATACAAAACACTGGAACAGACCAATGGACCACCAGACGGTGCAATGTTCTTCTTCAATTACAGTTATATCTCACAAGATGCCCTTTATAGGACCTTGCGTCCCCGCATGATCCTCCATCTACTATTGTCATCTATTGTCTATTGCTGAGCGTGCCGTCACAAGTCAACTTTCGGCTCAAAATTTGCACTAACCCTGCCATTGTT